TTAACCAGAGGGGAAAAAAGGAAAACAGGCTTGGCCAGGGTTGCATTAAGCGATTTTTTTTTTTTTTTCCCCTCCATCCTCTGCCGGCCTCGTAGAAGATGACGGCTGATGTGATACACGAAATAACGCACGTGATTGATTAGGACCTGGCTGGGCTTTGCTGGGGAGCGACCCGGGCGCGCCGGAGACCCCGGGTAGAAACCAAATGACGGTAGCTTCGAGCGGGTTCTGCAAAGCCGGGGAGCGGGCTCCAGGCCCCCCTTTTCCCGTGCGTGTGAGTAGGGGGGAGGCCGGCGGCGGAAGGGGGGGGTGGTGGCGGCGGTGTTTTGCAGCTTCGGGAGCCTTTGGGTCTGGCCTGGACCTTTTCGGGGGGCACGCAGCTGCCTGGCGAGCAGCATCCCCGCGCCGCCTGCGTGTCTGCAGGACCACAAAAGTTGGTCGCTGCGGGAACGGGCGCCCGACGCCCTAGCTGGGTCTCCGGGGAATGCCGACCCCAAGTCGCTGCTCACAGAGAAACCGGCTCCCGGGAGCAGAGCTCGCGGGGCGCACGGCCGGCCGGTCCCCTGGCCTGCGCTGGAGGTAGGGGTCTGGAGGTAGGAGTCGGTTCCTGTATGTGGACCCCCCCCCACCTTGGCCTCGGGGAACCTAGCAGAAACCCCCATCCCAAGCTCTCCGCCGTCCCGCGCTGCAAATTCCCTCCTGCCCCCCAACCCAGGCTTCCGCGGCCGATTTCTGCCCCCCCACCCCAATCCCGCGCGGCTCGGCCTGGCCCCCCTCCCACTCCAGTGGGCAGAGCGGGTCGCGAAGATCCGGCTCCGGGCTGCCGGAGGCGGGGGCGGGGGCACAACGGGGAGTGGGCGCGGGGCTGCGCGACCCCGGAGGCAGCCGGCGAACTTGAGTCCCGCCCCCTCCCCCAGGCCGCGGCGGCGCCCCTCCGCCTGCGCCCGCACCCGCGTGGCCCGACCTGCGGACGTGCGGGCGGGGGTGGGAAGGGGCGCCGTGTCGCGGGGCTGCAGACCCTGCGCCGGGGCGGGGCGGGGCGGGGCGGGGGACCGCGGGCTGGCGGTGGTGGGGGCAGGGCCCTGCTCCCTGGCCGCGCGGCCGACCCCTCGGCTGTCCCCTCCCCCGCCCGCTCTCCCGGACGCCCGCCGCCTCCCTGGGCGCGCTCGCCCATCTGCCTGCCGGACGCCCCCCGTCTCCCCGCGCGCGCCCCCCACCCTGACCGGGCTCCCTCGGCCCGGAGAGGGCGCGCGGGCTCGGAGTGCAGGGCGCGGGTCTCGCGGGCCGGCCTCGGGGTCCGCGCGCCGGGATCGTGGCCCCGTGCGGCGCGCAGCCCTGGGCCCGGGCGCACCACTCCGGCGCCTGCTCGCCGCCAGACACAGCGCCCTTTCTTCCCGGGGCGGGGGCGGGGGCGCCCGGAGCCCCGCACCCCGGGCCCACGGGACCACCTGGGAGCGCGCGTCCGGCCGGGAGGGCGCGGGGCCCGGCCTCTACGTCCCCCCGCCCTGCCCCAGCAAAGCCTCGCTCCCTTTATTTTATGCATTTTTTTTTGGCTGCGGCTTGTCTTCGCTCGGACTCCTTGTGCTCAACCGACCGGCAGGTGTGCGTCTGTGTATTGTCGGAGCCGCGGGGCTGGGGAGGGGGCGCCGGCGGCCGCGTTGGGGGCCCGGGGGGAGGGGAGCTGGTGGGGGGGGGGATGGCCCCTGCGGAGGGTCCCGGCCGCAGTCCGGACCAGGCGCGGGGAGTGCGCGGAGCGCCCGAACCCGAGCGCGCTGGCGAGTGTGGGGCGCGAGGGCACCGCGGATCCCACTCTCGCTTTTGGACCCAACTTAAGAAATGTGGGGTGAGGACTGCTGGGTGGGGGTTATTAAACCTAGCAGGTGCTGTCCTTGCGAGCAGAATCCACAAGGTGGTAGTATGGAATCTGCTTGTGATTTGGGCCCCCCCCCAGTTGGTCAGTTGGAAAGGGGGGACGGTTTTATGTGCTCACATCCTATGCTTTGAGAAGGGATCTATGGCTTCGGCATCAAGGGCGCGTTGCCTTAACTGCCTTCTAGTGAGAGGTGGGGCGAGCGAGGGCCATGCCCAGAGTCAGCATTTAGCAGGATTTCAGGGACGCAGAAAAGGAGGAAAAAAAAAAAATGGGGTAAAAGAAGGCAAGAAAAAGTTTAGGGAGACCTAGTTATCCTGATGCAGAATTTGCAGCCTGTGTGGGCGTTCCGCAGGCAACACACAGGGGCCAGCTGAAGCCCGAGTGGGGAGGTGCGTCCTGCAGCCAGAAATTCAAGGTCCAGGAGAGAAACAGATCCGACTTCCCGTCAGAACAAAGCCACCTCAGCCGCTCACACGGCTCCACGGTGGGAAGGGACACGCTCACCGGCTTCCTAGAGGGTGGCAGAACGCAGAGAAATGAGCACATTGCACCGAAATCTGCACTTTTGTGGGGGCGGTGGGGAAGGGGTGGGGAGAGAGTGCAGAAGTATTACGTGCCTTGAGTTGTCTGTGGGAAGAGGTTAACAGGAAGCGTGAAAAAAAATCTCAGGATAGGTTTCCCTGTGTGCACGGAACACAAGAGAAGCCGTTAATAGCACATGCTTGCATCCATCCCTTATTTCCAGAAAGAAAAAAAAAAAAATCTAGATTTTGTATTTGTTTTTGTCCCCATATCGGGAACATAAGAATTTCACCAGGGGGTAGGAAGGCTCTGCAACTATGTATCTTTTTTTTTTTTTTTTTTTCAGATTAGACTTCCAGAATTGTGTTATCCAAGGAAATGCTATATATATATATGGCCATATATATATATGGCTTAAATGTATGGCATAAATTTGTAGCTATGGCAGTTTTCAAGAGTATCATCTTGGCGTGGAAGAAAATGATGAGGACCAGTTGTAGCAAGTGGAAAATTACTTCATCAGTTTAAATCACTGAATTCAAATGAGAGACTTGTGTTCTTTGGGGAACCTGGGAGGATTTGGAGCAGGAACTGAATGATAATTGTATTTTCATAATAATAGCTGTGATCTGATGCCAGCTTTAAGGTGTTTTGACATGTTTTTCTGGGGTAAAGGAATGGTTGCTTTCCTGTGTATCATTTTTTTTTTTTTTCTTCTACAAATATTGCTGAATGTACGTTTGGTCTTAAATGCTGCAGTCCAGCCGATTTTGAGCAAATCTAAGAATAGAAAAGATACTTGATACGTAACTGATTGCCCCAGGAGGTGGATGTGGCAGGTACCGAGCTGTTGCTAAATTTGCAAATGAATGAACTTGAGGATTGTGGCAAGTTCTTTTTTTTTTTTTTTTTTTTGGCATGGAATGTGTAGACTAATGATAAGTATATGGGGGTTTCTCTCTTTATTTCTGAACTTGGCCTTTTCATTTGGGTTCCTTTGTAGTAATTTGTGGAAAGCTTCTGGTCTCGGCACAAGGGATAGCGTGCTTACTGGCTAAGCCTGTTACGTTGCTTTCAGAATGTGCAAGGGTCTTTTTCAGAACTCTTTAGAATATGGTCCCTCTTATGCCCTGACCACAGGGAGGAGGAAAAAAAAAAAAAAAAGCCTGGAGATGGTTTTTACAAAAGTAAACATTCAAGTGCATGGGAATCTGGCTTCTGTTTAAGAGTCTGTGGTTTGAAGTAGAGCTCCGTATTGGAAACACGGCGTCTGTGGCCGAGGACGACGCGGACGGCAACTTGTTGATGGAATGTATCTTACTCCAATGACGTTTCAAGATAAACATATTTGACGTCCCTAAATTCTCACCCGGCAGATAGGCTTTTCTGGCTAAAGTTTACTTAAATCCCAAACATGGGGAGCGCCGATTTCAGTATGCTGATTTTAACTGTAAGGAACACTTTTTTTTTTTTCTTTTCCTTTTTTTTGGGGGGGGGCAGTATATAAACACTGTGTTTCTTTCTATGATGTTTTCCACGGTAACAATAGATGTTATGTTCCCCAATGAGAAAAATACATTCAGGGGTTAGATTAAACAAGTTGCATAATTTTTTTTTTTTTTTTTGAGAACAGACGTCATGTTCTACTTAATTACGTTAAATAGTAATAATGATCTGAAGACAGACTGTGCCTTCTGTGTGGTAACAACGAATTTTTTAAACTCGTCAGCTACCAGTTCCCGATGTCATGGATGGCGTTTGCCCATTCATGGGCCATTCCCCCCATGAATGTTTTCCAGTTTTTTCATTTTTCTCTAAACAACCTACGTGGGGCCTTTCAAAGCCTTCGCTGTTCTTTGCTTTGCGAGTGGCAGGATGGGCAGCCCTCCTTTTTCTCGGGGAGGACGGAGGAGCAGAAATGAGCAGGGCGTAGAAATCAAGGCCTACGGGTTTGCCATTTCGCCGTGGCCTGCCTTTGCACAGACCTGTAGGCCAAGCTATTCTCTCTGCAGTAGTTACGACTCAACAAAGGTAAAAGGCTCTTAAAATCACAACAATGGAAGGTTGCCCCAGGGGCACAGCCGTCCATCCAGGGCTCCCTTCAAACTCCAGACACTGAGTGTTGCGTTCCCTGCTCAGGTGTGTGCCTGCCTGAGCTCTACGTGTGCCCGTGCAAACTGGCCAGTTTCCAGAATAGTCCTTGTATCTCGCCCAACCCTCCCTTCCTCCCAGAAGTGATACCTTCAGGGAAACAAACCAAACCCCAACGAACATAACCTATACAGTAAGATGAAGCTGTAGTGAACTGATTCCCGAGCAGAGAAAGCGTCATCTTTGCATCATTTAGGGAGAAAATGAGGAAGCATGAAGCCTTAAACCTTGTCAGAATCAGTCTCCAGGAGACAGATCTTTATTCGGGGTAGTGGTAATGCAATGGCTTGTGCTTTCACAGGTGTGTGGAAATGTGTGGAAACAATCCAGGGTTTTGTTTGGGTGACTTTCTTTAAGATGAATGTTCTATAAATAGTGATTTGCTACAGTAACCGAGTGCTATTTTGGGATGACAATGGGACCTTCTTGGTTCTGCCTGTTCATGGTGCTGAGACTTCTGGTTTCAAAAGGCCAATTCCTCATGGCATGATGAGTTGTCTGGGCCTGGAAGTTATCATCCCAGGTGCATGTTTGGATTTTATGTTATTGGGGTAAGAACACGGGAGCTGAGGTCTGACCTCTTAGCAAACTTTCCAGCGAAGGGCACCCTTTTGCTAACACTGGGTAGGAGGTTGTGTTGCTCAGGTCTCGAATTTGCTTATCTGGCTTAGCTAAGAGATTACGCCCATTGATTCCTAAAGCCCCTTTCTCGGTCTCCCCAA